CAAAAAATTTTTTGCTTTTCTACAATAAAACAAAGTTAGTATTTTTTTAAATATCCGAACAAATACTTTCTTTTGAAACGAAAAGTAATCAAATTAAAAAAAAATCTACTTTTCTTCTAAGAATTATTATAAAATTCAATTCAGTGTATAAAAATCGTTTTTAATAAAAATAAGTGACTTCACACAAGTTGGCAACACTCAAGAAAAAAATGTAATGTCACATTTTCAATGTTGCCAACACAATTTCAAAATGACATGAATTAAAAAAAAAACGTAAAAAAATCAAATTCAGAGATGCCAAAAAAACCGAATTTCCAAAATTACAGGCTACTTTGATCAGAAATTTAATTTTTCATTTAGATATTTCAAAAATAATAGAAATTTATTTAAAACGCACCGAAATATTATTTTTTCTACAAAGTTAGTCATTGTTTTTTAAATAGTTGGCAATGCTTAAAAAAATTGATCTGTCACATTTTCAATGTTGCCAACTCAATTTGAAAATTTATTTAAAACGCACCGAAATATTATTTTTTCTACAAAGTTAGTAATTGTTTTTTAAATAGTTGGCAATGCTCAAAAAAATTGATCTGTCACATTTTAAATGTTGCCAACTCAATTTCAAAATGACATAAATCAGAAAAAACGTAGTAAAAAATCAAATTCGGAGGAGCCAAAAAGACTTATTCTGGTCCGATTTTCCAAAATTACAGGCTATTTTGATCAGAAATACAATCTTTCATTTTGATATTTAAAAAATACGTAATAAATTTTTTTCTACAACCGTGAATGTATTTAAAACAAAAAAATTACATAAAATTAACAAAAAAACCCACTAAATAAATTTTTGACTTTCTTCAAACAGGAGTTGGCAATGCTCAAGAAAAAAAATTCAATGTTGCCAACTCAAACGTGCCAAAAGACTTACTTCTGGTCCGATTTTTGGTATTTTGTATAAACTGGTACCAATATCCGCTTCCGCAACAGGTGAGCTGTTCCGCACAGCACTTGTAGCTATCTTTCGCTTTCTTCTCATCATTGATGGTCATATTCTTCTTTTTGGCTTCTTGTACCAGCGACTGTGCTACCGTATACCACGCTTCTTCGTAGATAATCGAGAATTTGTACCATTTATAGTAGTCCAAAAGGGACACCACCGATTTGGTCACCTGTAACCCAATCGTCCTTGAACCATGTAAAAATTCTAGTCTAGTCTAGTACCGGTTAAGTGAAAAATCAAATATTTACCACAAGGGTGTTAATTTCACGTCACTTGACTTTCAATTCAATTACACAATGCGACAAAATTTTATATCATTTTGTTCGTCTCAGTGAGACAAATCAAATGCACTAAAAAAATTTCAAAAAGTCCACACACTGAACTAATTAACTTTTTTCTAATTTAAATGAATTTAAAATACTTTAACTTTAAAAAATCATTACTCAATTATTATTAGGCCGATTTCCTTCAAATAAAAACCATTTTAAAGGGATGGCTTTGCCCTTTAGGATGATATAAAATTTGAAATTCAATGTTGGCAAACTTTTCTTCGAACAGTGTTCGAAGAAGTTCGAAGTAAATCGAAGTAATCCAAGAAAAACCCGACGAGTATTTTTTTTCTTCGTCACCATCGTGTAGAGCATCTTTTTATTAGTAAGAATCCAAATTTTTAAAATAATATATCGAGTAGTTTTTAAGATATGATTTTTTGAAGTAAAGGTTTGCTAATCAAGCATTGCTCCATATGGGAGAAATGCATGTTAATCTTACTTAAAATTGCATTTTTATAAAAGTATTTGTTTTAAAACTCTTCTTTTGCTTAAAAATGGTCAATTGCACCTTAATTGTTCTAATTAGAATAAACAAAAACTGTTTGTTTACTTAAAACAAATAAAAAGTACCTGAGTACCAATTAAAGCAAATAAGGAGTTTTTTTGTGGTAAAAATGACCACTGATCATTGAGTAAAAAGGATCTAGAAGTTTAAGACACGAGCCTTAAATATAAGAGCAAATCTTTTTTAAATCAAATCACTTTCCATTCAGATTTCGACTTGTTCACTTTGTTCTAGCTTTCTGAACTTTTTTTGAAAATGTTCTGAGCAAATGCTTTCTCATCACTTTCGAGTGATGTTAAATGCAATAAGTCACCTGATTTATTTTGTTGGTACATTCTACAATTTTAAGGCTCGGATTATATGCACGAAAAATTCGTAAAATATGCGCATTTTCACAAAAATATTAAAAAATATGCTCCAATATATGCCAAATATGAATCGATATGCAAAATTTTTAACAATAAAAAATCAAAGTTGGGATAAATTTTTATCCTCGAATACACTAAACTTTGTATTTTCGTCATCTTGAACTGCACACAATAAATGAAAGAATAAATAAATTGATTTGGCGTGAGACAAGCCATTTTAATAACCTAGTAATTAACCCTTTCTAAAAAATCTGTACTTTTCAGATCACATCACGTTTTTTGCTTAAAGTATTTATTTTTTGAAAAAACTAATTGATGA